TAAGTGAGTAGTATACTCACAAAGCAATTAAGTGCTATGTCATGCACTTCCGTCAGGGGAATGTCGTGAACCACCGTCACGCCCTAGAACACGTAAGCAAGTACTATGAGACTCAATACCGAGCCATAAAACAATGCCAATCACAACCCCAATAGGGTTTTATAACCATATATAAGCATCATAGGCAACCAGAAATTAGGAAAGGGCTTTAACTTAGGCCTTGATAAGAAAACCGGATTTGACCTCATAATGCGGTAATGGCACAACTCTCACTACAATTATCGGATGGGGGTGTAAGACCAACCGTTTCGAAGCTAAGAAACAGGGCTACAATAATGTAGAAGGTCACTCAGTCCAAATCCTAGTACAACTAGGTCAAAAATGCAGAATACCACAACCTGAACCGTAATTGCAGGTTTACAAATCACACAAAACTGTAATCAGTACAACTCGGTCTATACAGGTCCAAATGCATTGATTCCAAAGGCATATGGTAGCTAAGACATCCAGCTACATTTCATCAGAAGACACCAACATCCAAATCCAAAGCAATTCCAGTCAAAAAGGCCAATTACAAGTGCAGTTTTCGCATTCTGCTCAATGCAGAACAGCTACAGTAGAAACGGCATAACTCACTCCACACTCATCCAAATGACCTGAAATTTTACAGGCACCTTAAACACATCAATACCTACAACTTTCATGTTTTGAGCAAAGTCCAATTCGGCCTCTAACCCAGTGATCTAAAACCGGACAGAAATGGGATTCTATGAACCCTAACTTTTCAATTTTCACACCAAATCCAAAATTGATTGCATTTTCCTATCCAATACACCTCATAGAGTCATTATCAACCATTATCATTCATCATACAAGCCCCCAACATCAAGATCATATTAAACCAGAAAAATTCCCAATAAAATAAAAACTTCACCAAAACAAGCCAAATCAAGAAACAAACCATATATTCCTTCACTCATGCCACCATTAAGCATAATATAACCATCATTAGGTATAGGGGAGAGGTGGTAGCATCACTTACCAAGAAACAAGGGAAAGAGAGATTGTAGACACCTTTGCTCTTCAAAACAACTTCACTACAACCCTTACTAGCACTAGAAGATAGGATTTTATGGAGTGAAATCTAGTCTAAGCTTTTGTTTATGGAAGATTGAGTGAGATGGAAGCTTGAAATTTGATGAACTTTCTTCCTTGTGGAGCTTGGGATGGCCGGCCAAAGAGAAAGAAAAATGAGGAATGTTTTGTGAATTTTTGGAGATATTAACTAATTGGGTCAAAAGTCAAAAAATTTGTCAAAAGGTGAATAGTGTTTCTTAAGTCATAACCAATGAGAAGGGGACATGTGGCATCTCATTAAATGCCTTCCTATCTTTCTTTTCTCTCTCACATCAATCACTTCACACACTCCACTTATCACTTAACACCCGATAAATTTTACACAGTATCCAAAACTTAACCTTATTGGCCGAATTTTTCCGAACTTTTCGCACTAGTGGGTCCCACATCCAATATATAATCTTAATTTTCTAAAAACCCACCAATGCTAGAAAAATCATCTAAAAACTTTAATTGCTCATAAAATCCACTAAGAAAATATTTCTAAGCCAGAAAATGCAGAAAACATGCAATTAAAGGGAAATAAACCATAGGAAAAAATATTAGGGCAATACGGGTTCTCACATGGGAACCTTACATGTATAAATGTGATTGGCACTGTTCATGTGCGGCTCCGATATGCCGGTTTCATTTCATGGTTTTGTTTCGTTTGAGCGCGCTAATACCTTCCGGAACGTTCTACACTGTACATAATCGCGCTAGTAGTCCTGGCGAGAGCTGGGCAGGCAGTCCACTAACCCCTTTGGTATGCGTTAGGGGAAGGTGGGGCTGTCACAGGAAACATGGTAGTTCATATTTTTATCTAAAATAGCTATTTGTAATCTAGAGTTGTTTAGTGAGATAATGTTTGTAAGGATCGAAAACAACCCAAGAGGGGGGTGAATTAGGTTGATTAAAAAGATAATCAAGTTATGGGCATTTTTTGCTCAAAATGAAATTCACCCTCTTTTCTAAGTGACCACACAATGTAGCAATTAGTAAGAAAGCACGATTGCTTGGGAGTAGAAGAGATAAGCAATTAAGCGATCACAATATAACAATAAGTGAATAAGAAGGGAAGAATTGCAAACCAATTGACTACCAAACTCCTCTTGAGCTTGTAGATCAATTTATAGAAAAAGCTTTTTCAAGTTGATGAAGTACAGCCAATCTTCTGTACAAAGGAAGGTTCACTTCGTCCTTATCCCAAGCTCCACTCGGTCAAGTAAGGAAGTTTTACTATCCCTCGGGACAATCCTCATAGAGCTACACTATTGACGTATTCACTCACAAATGAAAAGATTAAAATGAACTTCACACCACCAAGACTAAAAATCTTCTTTGGAGAGTGTTTTCTCACTAAAACTACTCTAGATCTTTTGTATCTTCAATGTGCAAAAGTTATTTGAAGTTTCTAACCAAGCACTATTTATATAGGACCAAGAAAGTGCTTTATTAATGCTTCTAATGGATAGAAAGTAACTGAAGAGTCAACTAACCGTTGGAGTATTGGACGTCCGGTACATCCAAAGTATGCATCCGACAGTAGGCAGTGAGTTTGAAAAATCTTCTTCAATTCTATCGGACGTCTGGTGCTTGCGTTCAAAAGCAGACAATGAGTTAGAAGGAACATCTCAATTCTATCGAACGTCCGGTATTGTCTTTGTGAGCGTCCGACAGCTTTTGTCGAGTTTGAACAATCCTATCAGATGTCCGATGCTTGCGTCCGATCGAGGTCAGTGAGCCAGGGGGAATGTCTTATTTCCTTAGGACGTCCAGTGGTGGAGTTCTTCATGCGTCCGAACTTGCGCAATGATTATCGGAGGTCCGATCTAAGCGTTCGACAGCTTTCAACAGCCTTTGTCCCTTTCAATTGCACTTGATCTTTGAACTTGATTTGTTTCATAACTGAAAATATTTCTTGAAGAGACATAAGTATTATCCATTGTTTTGTAAACATCAAAAGATAGGGATCAAGATCAACAATGTTCTCACTTGTTTGTAATGCTATTATGTAGGATTTAATGGATGGATTAACTCGCTTTTTCTCTCAAAAATAAAGAAAAATGTGCAAGTTTGTATGTTTTATTGATGCTGAAAATTGTGACAGGTCTTGATGGCTTTCTAAACTTTTTCTAATTATTAAAGTGTTAGAAACATTTTGACTATTTTTGTTTAATTACAACTAAAACTATGCTGCTATTAAACTGACAATGCATCCATAATGGATTTACTTTCTCTTCTTTTTTGGTATCATTACGTACATATAATATTTGTTAAAAAAATTTTGTCCAAATCACAATAAATTGAGGGTTAATCTCATAGATAGAATTATTCTTCATAGCAAAGTTTAATTGTTTTGATACTCAATTTTTCTCCCATGTTTCTATTCATTATGTACCAAAAAGATTCAATTATTATGTATTCAACTAAAATTTTAGGGAACCCTAGTTGTGCCTTGCACAACCGAGCTACCTCTAATTCTCTGAATATAAAATACTCGAAAGACAGACAAAAAGTTTCTAATCAATTGGAACTAAATTTTGAAGCTCTGTCATCTGTGTTGCTCCTATTTAGTTTTTAGGGATAAACATGTTATAGAATTTATCCGGGTTTAATATTAGGGATAATTGTAAAAACCTCCCTTGAGGCTTTTGACACTAGCACTCAGCTCCCTTATGGTTTCTAAAATAGCACCGACCTCCCCTAGGAGGAAATTGGACCTGTTGCTGACAATGAATTGTATGAGTTTATTTTTACACCCTAACAAGTTGCAGAAACTTAATGAACAAATTTTCACTTACTAAAGACAACTTAATCTTATTAGTGTGCACTTCTAATTACTTGTATCTAAGCTTATCTCATACTCAGTAACTTTAGTGATGCTTAAGTATGCTATTAATTAGCTGATTGTTCAATGATATTTTTATATATATATGATTGATGCTGACAACATAAGCAATTGTGTTACCCCCACAAATAGCTATTGCATTGCTAATAGAGAGTTTTAAGAGTCAAGTGTATTCTTTATCAGCTTTGCAGCAAGAACTTGGATATATAGCTATTAAACTAATTGTTAGTATCCATTGCTGTTTCATATATTGTTGGTAAACTTTATTCATTTGTACTTACACCTCTTGAAATTTACTAATTCTTAATAGTTTTTCATATTTTCTCATTCCTATATTAATACAACTTGGCAAGCAGCATAAAGGGCAAATCTGGTACAAATTTCTCATCTCACTTCTTAAAATAATTTTTTAATGGTAACTTTTTTAGCATGAACTGAATCTGTAACAAAATCCTTAAGTTCAAGGTGATCAGTACTATTTTCTAAACCACAAAAAAGGTAAGTGCTAGTATCAGAAACCTTAGGGGAGGTTTCTGTAATTTTCCCTTAATATTACCACCCAACAGACAACAGTCGGGCGGGGCCCGAAATTACTTTAAAAGGCAGGAGGACAAATTGCTGAATCCAAATCCTTTCCAACACTGTGAAAGGAGGATTGGACATGACATTTAAAAGATTAGACTACCAACTTTCATAAAATGATTGTTGAACATTTCCGCCGGCATATCCTCTTTTCTTTTGTGTGAAGAAAGAGTTTGGCTACTTCAGGGGTATAGCTGTCATCTGGATTAAACTTTGGAATCCATCAAGGGAAAGGACAATGGGAGACCAAGTCGTTCGAAATGAACTGGATTAACTCAAAGGTTAAAGAGACAACAAAAGACAGCATCATCAAGGCAAGGCAACCTGTAACTTCTTGCCTAATAAAACTAAAATCCAAACAAGCAAAGGAAAGAATTCACATGATAAGGCCCTTTATGCTCTTATATAATTCTCTATTTGCCTATCATCCTCTCTTCCCCCTCCACTATTTTGGAACCAAGAAAAAACGTCTTCTCTCAGTTCGTAACGAACCCCACCTCACCTCACCCCACCTCCTCTTCAGAGAGGAAGAAAAGAGCCGCCTCCTCCGCTCTCATTCTCATTTCAAAATTCTTTTTTCATGAACGCACTTTTTGGAGTTGCCATGGTACATATTCTTGTCGGATTCTTTGTCTTCATAACAGGTAATTATTCCTCATGTTACTTTATGTTATTATGTAACTGGAAGAATAACTCGTGCATTCTTCTTTTGTGCCATTCACTAAACGTTTTTGGTAACCAGGACTTGGATTATTGAGAGGAGGAGAGTCTCTAGGGATCAATTATGGGCAAGTAGCCAACAATTTGCCACCGCCAGATAAAGTGCTTGATCTATTGCAGGCCCTGAAGTTAACAAAAGCAAGAATTTACGACTCGAATCCGGAGGTGCTGTCGGCATTTGCAAACTCTAACATTGAGCTAATCGTGACAGTTGAAAATGAAATGCTAGCAAGTTTAACGGATCCTCAGCAAGCCCTTCAATGGGTTAGCACTCGTATAAGGCCATATTTCCCGGCTACGAGAATCACAGGCATTGCAGTTGGAAACGAAGTATTTACAGGAGAGGACAACACGTTGGTGGCTAGTTTAGTACCTGCCATGGTCAGCATTCATGCGGCTCTGGTGCGTTTAAGACTAGATCAATACGTCCAAGTTTCAACACCTAATTCTCTAGCAGTTCTAGCACAATCATATCCGCCTTCAGCAGGGTGTTTTAGTAGTGAGCTCAATGGAATCATGCCGCAACTTTTGCAGTTTTTGCAGAGTACAAACGCACCTTTTTGGATCAATGCTTACCCATATTTCGCTTACAAGGACGATCCAAACAGAATTCCTCTAGACTATGTGCTATTTAACCCTAATTCGGGGATGATAGATCCTTACACGAAGCTGCACTATGACAACATGTTGTATGCTCAAGTTGATGCTGTTATATTTGCCATTGCGAGGTTGGGGTTTTCGGGGTTAGAAGTTAGGGTGTCCGAAACGGGGTGGCCATCCAAGGGTGACACTGATGAAATCGGTGCAACTTTGGAAAATGCAGCCAGTTACAATAGAAATTTAATGAGAAGGCAGTTTGAAAATGAAGGGACTCCCTTGAGGCCTAACATGCGACTAGAAATCTATGTGTTTGCTTTGTTCAATGAGGACATGAAGCCTGGACCTACTTCAGAAAGAAATTACGGCCTCTTTCAACCTGATGGAACTATGGCATACAATGTTGGTCTCCTTGCCCTGTCAAGTGCGTCGTCCGCCTCCTCCACAGCATCCTCCTCGGCATCTGTTTCCCTGACTTCCTCTGCTCCAAAGGTATGTCTAAAAGTTCCTTTTTCTTTCTTTTCTGGAGTTTTTTTTCCCTACCTTGGTAGAAATTATGAGGAACTGTACACAACTGTAAAGTGCCTTAGGCGGAAAATTGTTAACAAAATTAAACCAAGCTTAGTAATTTCTATTTAGTTATTTAGTAGTTTAATTAGAGTTTTATTGAGATGAAATTATATACTTTTTTGATCTAGGAATTGATATTTTATTAGGTAATTAGTTATGTGGCAGTTTCTTATTTCCAGTTATATTGGGTTAAAATTATCTAAGAGGGGGTTAGTAGAGAGTCGATAGAGACTGCTTTTAAATATTATCGTTGTTAGACTTTCCTGTGTTTGAGATATGAATAATATTACTGTGAATTGTGTTGATAATTTCTTCTCTCCAAAGAAAAAAAATATATTTTGTAGTTCTACATAAACTGTCTAATACCATATGCTAATGTCCTTCTTTGTATCTTGCATCAATTCTGAATAATGTAGATAAGGAACAATTCACGTGTGCAAATATTAAGATGATATACTTCTTTTAACAAATTTTTTTGTTGGCTTTGCATTTGTGGGTCTCGTTCTAAACAGGTAAAACTAGTGGGTTATCAAAGTTTTCTGTACTCGACAGTCTTGTATTTGCTGGCCCTCCAAATTCTGCTGAGACGGCAATCTTAAGGGGATGGGAAAACAAAGTGATGTAAATATCACCTTTATGGGGTGAGCATGTGCTTTCAGCAATTTGTGACTTGATCAAATGGAGAAAAGAATTCCTTGGAGCCATCAGGAACCAAAAAATTCATGTGCGTATAACGCAAAAAGCCGAAGGTCATCCTATCTTTAATTTTTCGGCCAACAAAGACTTTCAAACATGACGAAGGATGCGTCAGATGTGCGTCGCCCCAAACATGAAGGGGGGCCATTTTGCAATCAGGCAAATCAGCTGTAATAGATCCACAAGCCATTTAACACATGGACATGATCTCAGAAAAACAATGGAAGCCCATTTTCTGGATCGTAATCCAGGTGAAAGGCTAATTAATTTGCTCCAGTTGCATAAGCAGTTGATTTATTGAAGCATTCTCCTACTATATTTCTTTACTTTATTTGTGATAATAGGATATAATTGCATATATGTGTATCTTTCTGGTGCTTTTAAGTAAATATTCTTTGAATATTGGGGACAATCCTTGTGAGGTTTCTTTCAGCCTCTTGTTGGGAATAAAGGGCTCTACTTTTGGACGTGGATTCCATAACTGCTGCTGCGTAGAAATATAATCGTCAACCCCTGCTTTTATCCTCATGTGGTTCTTTCCTCGTGCAGAAAGTTTCGTAGTTATGGAGTAAGATTTGAGATATAATAAAGGTAGAGATAAATTAGAGATAATGTAAAAGAAAATAGAGATAATGTAAGCTAAAGTGCAAAAGGTTAGGCTCCGTTTGTACTTTTTTAATCCTTGAACAGACAGTGGACGGCCCACCTTTATTCTCCGTAACCGTCAGCATTGGTCAGTGCCATCCTTTTCTCAAAGGAGCTTTAGACTTTCTCTGTATTAGATGAATAACTTATAAGTGGTTTGCTGTGTATGCAACTTCTATATATAAGTGTGCTATGGCTCCAAACACCAGAAAAGAAAAAGTGTGGTTATCAATTATTTAGTGTGAAAGAAGGGTCAATAAACTTAAAATGGCATGTGGTTATATAATGTTGTATTTAATAGCTAAGAAAATATTGTTTGGATAGTAGATTATTTGTCAAATTTTTTTTATTTACATCATCAACAAATTTTCAAGTACCTTTTTATCTCATATATATCATATCAAAAAAATGTTACACTATTTGATTATTACTTTCGGAGTTTGAGACTAGGATATGTCACATATCAATTTTCCTCCTTTTCTTTTGAGAAAAATGTCTGAAGGAAAAGAAGTTTAACTTATGAAAGAAAAATGAAAACACTGTCAAGTTCGAAATCTTGCTTGAGACTCACCCAGGCGCCCCCTCGCGTTTGCTATTGGTTGTCATGATTTAGTAACAAAGGAAAGAAACTTAAAAGCACGAGGCGTTCCATAGGAACTTGGAAAATATTTGGACAGCCTGGTTTTAGAGTGCATTTGAGTTTAGTTGAACTCGTGTAGTACCATTTTCGAGCTTGAAGTCTACATAATTCAATATTGCTTAAATTCAAGTCAGAGCTAGTTCAAGAGATCATACATATTGATGCTTGAACTCAACTTGCTTATATTTGTAAAAGGTTAAGTTCGACTCGTTTAAGCATGGAAAACCTCAAAACCTAATTAAGCTTGAGTTAGAACCTGACCCATTTGGGCTTATAAAAAGTTGAGACTAATCGAGCTCAATTACGAACTCAAGAAATCGGTAAATTCATTTTTCAGTATTATTTTAGCATATCCAAGTTCCAATTTCCAGGCTTTGTTATCAAATTTTCAACAGATTTCAATGACATGAGTCTTATTCTATACATGAAAACCAAGATTCAACTAAATATCAGTTAAAGGCTTCCAAATAATCATTCTGCAACTTTTTCAACTTCAAATCACGGAAAAAAGAAAGTTACAGGAAAAAGAACACAACAACGACTGCCAGAGAAAGAGGCACGTATTTTGGAACTCTAACCCTTGATTCTCAGTCTTCTATCGAGCATATTTTGAAATCCCCAAAGTTAGTTCGAAACTCCATGATTGAAGCAACATTTCCGGAAAGAGAAAGCTAGACAGAAAGAGAAAGGTCTTAATTTTCTTTTACGCGAGTTCCTTACTTTGTGTGCGACTGTAACTAGTTCTCCAATTGTTTTCTAATTATTGAAATGGTAGCCAAATTATTTCCCATTTTTTATGGGTTTAGAAATTAGCCTTAATTATTTTCTATTTTTATTTGGGTTTTTACCAAGCAATGTACTCAACAAATAGGTAGGGTGGTGATTTACAATTTCACACAAGATAAGGGGGTGGGTGAAAGAATTGTTGGTTGGTGGGAGAGGTTATACAAAAGTTAGGCTTAGAAGTCAAGTTGTATTCGTCTGCGGTGTTTTTTTTTTTTTTTATTATATATTTTTGGTTTACATGGGAGAGTTTACAGACTCTAAAGCTTTACAAAACGAGGGGTAGAAATCCCCAATACATCAGCCCCAAGCATATATCTAATCCCAGCTGGGGGTTCCTCTATGTACTTCTGAGTCTCATGATGACGAATACTATCCTTTGTTAACCAGTTTGGTGTGTTTTTCTCTTATAATAAAAAATGGATTTTCGCTCCGTACATGGACACTAACATGAAAATTAAGTCAAACCATGTTAAATGTTGTATGTTAATCATATTTCTCGCTAGTTCAAGTGTTTGGATAGGCATTATTTTCACAAAACACTATTTGCTTGTATCATAAACACATTTTTCAACATACCTTTTTATCTTTCGAAGTCTCAACTATCTTTTTATCTCTATATATCACATTACAAAAATGTTCTAGTAATTATTTCAAATAAACTCCTATCCAAACACACTTTCATTAAGTCATTGATTTTTTCCATATCTCAAATAGTTGAACCTGATTCCCAACAGTTTCAGATGTTGCGAAATACCCTAAATACACGCAGAAGAGTTTTAGTTTTAAAATTTTATCGAATATTTATAGCTCTTAGTTAAACTTTTCACTGTAATATCTGAATGAACTAAATCCAGAATTTCAATAAGAACTAAAACTAATTTCAGGAAGTATACCTTATTCTATACACTCCCTAGTTGTGCTGGAGCTAGGATCCCAACGTTAGAGGGCTAACTAATTCAGTTTACAGTACAGTATTGAATACCGCCAAAGATAAAAGTTCTTTTATGTAATAAAGAATAGTATATATAACTATTAATAACTAGTAACTAGAACACTAGACCGTAGTGTCAATGTTTTTAAAATTATAAAAGGTTTTGCAGATAATAATACTATTGAAGCATGATATGGTTAGCATTTTTGTGCACTACGCAACTATAATTTTGAAAAAAAAGAATTCAAATGAAGATCACTTGTTCATTTTCATGTACCCAAAGTTTTAAGATTTTTCTGTTGTTTTTGAATAATATTTAATCTCCATTTTGCGTGTGTTTGTATTTAAAGTAGGTGATAAATGTAACTACTTCATAAATACAGGGGAGCAATATAATGGAAGAAAGATAGTTTGATATATTTTGAGGGTGAAAATATAGGACACAATTAGAAATATGAGAAATTTCATCCCAACTGTGAGGACTTGAAAATTTGTTTATATTTTCTTATGATTCTCTTTTATCTTGAATAAGTTAATTTATAATTCCTTTACTACTAATTTACTTCCCTTAATAGTTGTAATAAATAATAGAGTCGAGAGTTTTACTTTTACTTTTATAATAGAGTCGAGAGGTTTTATGGTGTATTGTGGCACTGTGATCAATTAGTGAGGCGTATATACTAATTTGATGGATAAGAGCGGGTATTAAGTAAGAGGAAGTATGTGATTAAAAGTGCTAAGAGTTAGTGAATTATAAGTTAAAACAAAAGTACAAGAGAGACAAAGAAATAGGTTTGAACTGATTTGCGCCGTTTGTTACCGATCGAAAACACCATTTGACCAAGACTTTCTTTCCCTAATCTTATTATTTTTCTTCCATTTTCCTTTTCCTAATTTTATCCTAGGGTTGACCAAAATTCTTGACCAAGAAAGAGAGGAAAAAGAAAAAAAAAAAAAAGAGGAAAAATGGATGATTGCCAACACTTGGCAATCAAAGCTACCTTTGACCAAGAACCTTTCTTCCATCTATATCTTTCCTTTCACCAAAAGTCCCTTCACCTTTCACCCTTCTTGGCCGAACCTTGAGAGGAAAAAAAGAGAGAAGGAAGCTTCAAGTTTCATCTCCATCTTGTCTTGGTTGAGTGAGGAATCAACAAGAATCACCAATCTAAACTGAACAAAGTTGCAACAAGGTGTTAAGAAGGCTTGTAGTGGAGTTATTTGGAGAGAAAAGTCTTGATTTTTCACTTTTTCTTGGGGGTTCGAAGGTACTAAGTTGGAAAACTTTCTTTCTCTTTCTTATCTTGCAATTTATTGGGAAGATGACTTGAAATTGGAAGTTTTATGGAAGATAACCTAGATTTGTGAAGATTGGTGAAATTTCCAGCCTAGGGTTTAATTTTCCAGCCTTGCTTTGTATTTTTCAGCCATGATATGATGGTATCTAGTCTTGTTATGGGCATGTATGAAGATTTGTAGCTTTAATTTTAGCTTCTAAATAAGAATTTTCAGCTTTAGTTCTAAAATTCCATCTTTAGTAGAGAATTTTCCAGCTTAGATATATGATGTTTATATACTAGAGATAAGCTTAAATTAGTTGGTTTTGTAGCATAGTATAAGAACCCTTTTACCTTGTAACTTGTGGAGTTGGTTTGGGCTGTTTTGCCATGAAGCTTAGCTTGGGAAATTTGAGAAAATGTTCAAGAAAAATGGGGGAGGTGCTGCCCAATTTTTTTTCAAGGAGGGTGAGTGAGTGAAAGTGGAAGTAGAGGTGTGATTTGAGATCGATTTGGACCTAGCTTGCTCAAGGATATTTAGGTCAACCTTGATGGCAATTCATAAACTGAAATTTTGCTAATAGTAACCATTTTCAAAGACAAAGTAATGGTCACTTTAAACTAGATTTTCTAGTTGCATATCACTAGCTATAAACTTAAAGGCTTCAATCGTTTCTTTACCAAAACCAAAAGAGCGGGCATGTAGTTTCTTAGGGTTTATCAAGTATTATAATGACTATTTAAATGAGTTTTATTTACTTGGTTTATCCTTGCTATTAATAAGCGAAAGTTGTATATTTTGAAACCCTATTTGATTACAAGTTGTTACCCGATATTTTATTGCAGATTTTGACTCTAGCTAGGGGGCTGGACTTGGGCTTGATTTGGATAAGCAATAAATCATTGGTGAGTGTCTCCAACTGCATGACCAAACTTGATACTTGAATGCAATATTGTCTTGATGTGATTGGATATTTCTTGACTTGTTTGGTCGGGCAAGGGCGTACTTTATCGCACTTGCCCTAATGTGATTTATTACTGTCCATTGGTTACAAATGGCTTGATGTACATGTGTATGACTTGAATACTGTCTGGGATCCCAAACCTATTGGTTAGTTAGTCGAATCGAGCCAGTAAGGGCTTGGTCGAAGAGACTGGCGAACCATAGGTACTATTTATTATTTATTTCGTAATCCATTGGATATGCTCCACTGGATTCAGTATATTCGAGTATTACCACCATAGTTAATATTGGAG